ATTTTCCTAAAGTACCCTTTTTCAAAAAATTACTCAAGTAAATACATTTGAGTAAATGCAATTAGTAATTACCCAACTCTAATCTAAAGGGACTTCTGAAAAAAATAAAAAAATCTCAAGTTTGCCAAGTTTGGTGCAAGAAAAGAGAAAATATCCAATAAGCAAGATTTAGAGAATAAAATGATCCAATGACGTCAGAGTAATATCTTTGAGCCCGTCTTCAACCAGCAGGACAATCCACCATGTCACAAAGCTCAGGTCATCCAACACTGGCTTTCGAACATGATAATAGGTTCACCAGGAGCTGCAGCAGCAACTGTGTTGCCATCATGTCGATATGAAACAAAACCTCTGCAGGAATGTTTCTGACATGTTGCTGAATCTTTGCCATAAAAAATGGAGGCAGTTCTGAAAGCAACAGGGGGTTTAACACAGTACCAGCAATAAAAGTGGCTGGTGAGCATATCCTCACAGCAGACCCACTTTCTCACAAGCAGGGAAGGCTTCTGATAGCTTTCTCTGCAATAACACAATGCAGGCTCTCATTATCTAGTGAATGGCAGGGGAAAAGTGCTGCTACTTCAGTTTTTCCCAGTCTACCATTATAAGATCACTGGCAGAGTGAGGATGATTGCAGGTGGAACTTGTATTATATTAATTACCCATATTAAAGAAACCACCTGAGCAACACCCATACTAAAAAATACAGACAGGTATATCATAAGATACGATAAGATTTTAAAAGTGCAAGTTAATCAACTTCCAACATCTTTGCTGGACTCAAGATGTTGCCAAATGATTGGGAGTGAGTTGCTCCTCTTCCTCCTCGATGCCTCAATATTTGAAATTTGACCTGAGTTGCTGTATCATGCAACCAAGTCCTCTAAAAACTGTAGTTATCACTTCCCTGAAACATCTGCTTACCTTCAAATGGTTGCTTTCTCAACTTCCATGCTACTCTCTATAAAAAGTAATCTCTAAGGCCACCCAGACATGCTGTTAAAGTGGCCTTTGTCTGCAGACTGTGTTTGGCATCTCCTCCTAATGCTAGTTCCTGTTAGAAAACAAAAGGGAGCACAGGGGAGCACTTTATATCAGTGGGGGGAGCACAGTTTGGCCCGCCATTTGTCTAATGAACAATCAGTCACACTTTGGTACAAGGCCATATGTTAGTTTGGATACAGCTTGCTCCCTTGTGTAGAGCCTGAAACCTGTTTCATCACTCACAGATGGCTGCGTGGCGCGCACGCATATCTAAAACCTTGAGAACGAAAGTTAGTGAAGGTTCAACAAGATAAGGGAGAGGGGAAAAGAGCAACGGCGTAACCCAGTTTCTGATACGAGTTGGAGTTTAAAGCGATCAAAACAAAGCCTGGAGGGTACCGGTTCTGAATGTGGTTTGGTGGGAGATGAAAGAGATAACCGTATAAAAACCAGTCTCTGCTGCGAATGTTTGCAGAAGAAAACAAAGTGGGTTAATGTCTCTGAGTGGGTTAATAAGCACCGACAGCTTGTACTTATTAATATAACACTGAGACAGTGTGATAACAGAGCAACTGGTTGGGGTAATTATTATTTCCTGTATAACAGCATTTGATTAATAATTCAAGTTTGTTAGTTTGTGCATTTTATGTTCACAGTTTTATTCCTTATGTTCAACCCACTGGTCTGAAGCCTGGAGCATTAATGTGTCTCTCAGCACAGAATCAGACATTTCTCTGCGCAGGGTGATTATAGGTCCATATTGTTGCACGGGGCGGTTCTGCTACCGCTGATTAAGCCTCATAGAATATGGAAATGACAGGAGAAGTTTCAGATGCCTTCGTGGTTACGCAGATGATTGATGTCTTCCTACAACAACAAGGGGACATAATTAGGTTTGTCATGATTACAAATTTTACTGGACGATAAATTGAGCCAGAAGTTATTGCGATAAATGATTATATTGTTTTGTAAGGACATAATAATGCGAGAACACAATCTCAAATACCAATAATCTTTAAATTCTAACTAACTTTTAACACTGGATCTAAGATATTTTAAATATCCAAAATAAACAAAAGAAAAAATAAATAAAATGAATTATAAAGTCTTTTCTAGTCAAGACCAAAACTCCAGACTGAAAAGATTCATCATCCAGTTTTAGGTAGAAAGAGAAAAGAGAAAATAACAATAAATCAGACAAATTTATCATGTGATTAATTGAGTCATTGGTTATTGCGACAGCCATACTTCTACTCATTCAAAAGTGTAATTTTTGATGAGAAAACGTTTGTATAAACATGTTCACTGCAAAATAAAATCTTACCAAGTATTTTTGCTCTAGTTTCTGGTGCAAATATCTCAGTATACCCACAACAAACCTTTTAGCAAGAAATAACAGCTTGTTTTAAGTCAACAACTCCTTAACATTGACCAAAAAGTACTGGTTCCACTGTATTTCTCCTGTATTATAAGTTAAATAAATAATCTGCTAGTGGATTTTGTATTTTTAAAGAAGTTATTGTCTTGAACTTGAAACAAACCAACTGTTTCTTGTTGAAAAGTTACTTGTAAGTTCCTTTTGTCTTATTTCAGGCGCCATGATATTGCAATGGAAACTCGACCAAAATTACTTGGTAAGATTCTGTGTTTTTGTAGCGATAGGAGTGTATTCCTATAGAAATAACAAACAAATACTCATATAAATCACTGAAGTAGCGACCTTCCTCCTGAGTGCTTTCTTTTACTTTCTGCATGAAATCATCAGAACAGCAGAGCTGTCACTGTGATTTCCTTCCACTTCTCTCTCACTTTTTCCGCACTTTGAATACATTAAACTTCAAACGTGTCAAGAAAGCCACTGACTGAGGGGAAATGGTGAACTGCGTCAAAGAGAAGCCAACTCCAACCTGATTTATCTGTGTCGAGTGAAGCTAGTTCCTTTGAATCTTAGATGTTAATTTCGACTTTGATTCTGTGTTTTATTGGAATTTCAAAGCAAATCTGGATGTATTCATTTAAAAGAAAATGACAATCGCTCAACTAATTTTTTATGGTAAGGATTTATTGTCCAGTACATTGTTTTTTGTGTGTGTTCTGCTTGTACTTTTCAAAACCAGAACAGTGACATAAAACCCAATCCACCACCTGGGAACTGGGTCCCTGAAGGTTCCCAGTACACCAACAAGTGATGGCTACTACTTTAAAAGCAGCAAAGGGATGTTTAAATTACAAAAATTACAAAAAGAAACAGTCTGAAGATCCAATCTTTTAGATCAAGGTTACCGCTTACAAAAATATACCAAAGTTTTTAAAAAGTTGCAGTTTCAAAACAGCTAAAATTTAGTGCCATGCTATGTTAATAATTTCCCTCTAGTGAGAGACCAGAAAGTGTAGGAGGGAAGTGCTGAACTGGAAAATCCACAAGTGGGTTTCCAGTGTCAAGTTATCCAGAGATTTTAAAATCCAAAAACATAATTTATCGCATGGCGTTCCAGATGTTGAGATGCAGTAGAAAGTGCTGGATTTGTGTCCAGCTCCAGTCCTCAAAGGCTGATGTGTTGCCAATTTTAGATGCATTTCTGTTCCAACCCAGCTGATTTAAATGGTCCAACTACGAACTGAGCATGTTAAGCAGAGGCCAGGTAATGAAGCATCATTTGATAAGGTGTGTTGAACCAGAAAAGAACTAAAACCTGCAGGAAATCTGCCCTTGAGGACTGATTTTGGACACCACCGGACCAGAGTTTTTTAAGTTTTTGTGTTAATGTTGTAAAACCACATTGTCATATCTACTTATTTTTTCACAAATCAGTAAATCACAGAGTCTACATTGCCATTTCAAGAAAAAAATATTGGCATTGAATAAAAGAAAACCTTTTATTTAACCTTCCTAAGAGCTAAATGATAAAAACTCATCAATAATTCAACAGAACTATAAGGATGCATTTTCACCAGCCCTGTTAAGTTCACTTTGATCAAACGCTAGTTTCTCAATAGGAAGTCAGATTTGTTTGAGAAGGTGTGAATCCACAATCAAACTCTGATGCAAACCAAAAAAAAATTTAGTTTAGGGTTAGTAAGAGAAATGGCTCGTCACCTTTTACCAAAGACAAAAAAAAAATAATCCTACAACCGCCAAAATCTGACACTACTGCATTTTTGGTTACATTTTATGAAGAAGGAGGTTGTTCCCATGTTTTCTTCCAATTTCCTTTGGTGCAGCGCCACCACAGGTGAGGAGGGCAACACGTTTTGAAATTAGTTTAGTTTGTTTGACAGGGTGCAGTGTGAATGCAAACCACACCAGCTAAAAATGTAACAAATGTTGCAATTTTGGTCCCCAATCGAACTGAGTTTACCGGATTGTCAGGTGTGAAAAGTCAATGTTTAGTCAGGTGTCTTTAATAAAAGTAAACATTGAAAAGACCAGCATTGTTTGTAGTTTATATTAACATCAGCTAAATAATGGCAATAAATTTCCGTGCCTTAAAGCATGTAGCATTTGTCTGCTGTGTCTTAGGGCTGTTAACAGCTGATCCACCCGGATCTGAACTCCCCTTTAACCTCTCAGTCTTTACATGTCTGCTGCTCAGCCATGCCTGGAATACTAATGTTGCAAATGTCAATGCAAATCAGAGCCTAACAATAAAGCAGCACAAGCCTGCTGTGATGGTTAAAGGACGAAAGCCTTTCTGTCTGTTTTGCAGCCGCAGCAGCAGCTCTCGCTCCGGCGCTCTGCCTCCTGTCGGTGGTAACAATGGCTTTTTGCTTGTGCTGTCAGCATCTTGCTGAAAAGAGTCTGTCAACAAGCTCTTTCTGCTGTGATTCTCACTGATTTTACACGTGTGTGCAGAGGCTGGAATCCCTCAAGACAGCAGCTATGCATTATTGCAGAAAACCAAAGGGCACCAGTATGTTTGAAACACAAATATGTGTTGGAGATGAAAGTGGTGGATTTTCTTTTTTTTTTTTTTTAAGTCATATGTGCAGCATTTGAAGATGAAACTCAGCCATACCATGCGGATCCCTTTGTTGCTCGTCTTTGTTCAGGTGAAACTGTTTGTGACTTGTCCTGCTTTTCTCCCCCAGCTCCCGTTTTCATGGGCTGTAGAACAGAAACACGACAAAAAAAGAAACATAGGTTAGGACCGAGCTAACAAGATGAGTAAATAGCAAAGGAGAAATAAATGTGGCAATTCTTTCTTATAATCAATTTGAGCAGAATAAAAGTGTGAGGAGAGAAAAAAAAAAGCACAGAAAAGAAAATTCTGTGCCACTTAAAATGACAGAATCTGCATTTATTATGTATGAAGCTTTTGCCCCGAGGCAGAAGTGCTTCATCTGTGTGAATAGTTCACTTCTCACCACTGTTAACAGCATGAGAAGGAAGAAAAGACGACTTTAATAGCAACAGTTTAGACTAATGTTGCATCCAAATAAAAGGCAATTAATGGTTTCGCGGTACTAAAGTAAGGTTAAGGTTAACTGTCCATTATTAGTAAACCCAGCACACCACACTCTCCTCATACGGCTTCTGGCTTGACCTTGAGGAGCGTCTGAACTCATGCATTATTCACTTTCCTTCCTTAGCACATGTTGCTGACTTTAACTGTCAATGCAAGTGTCTCCAGCCATGTGTGTCTAATGAGCATAAACGCTTTAAACTTTTCCTGTCTTTAAATGGCTTTTTTTTTGCCACAACCGTCTCCCAGCTGAAAATAACGATACGGCAATGAGCGCCAATTAAACCGCTGCTCCTCCAGCCTCTGTGTGCAAAAATAGTCGGCAGCCCGATTTTTTTGACTGACTACTCTTTGGAGCTGGTTTCAAAGCGCTGGCATTGACAAGCTGGTACCCAATAATGGAGAGCGCAGCCTGTCTTTCTGGGAGACACGAAGCAGCGCGCAGTTAGCTGGTGCAACGAGCTGGCAGGGCATTTTCATCCTGACGAGGAACAGGACGGGAGAAGATCCCTGGAATATTCCTGGAGATGGAGTTGTTGTTAAGTCCGGAGATGTTGCGCATGCGCACAGCTCCAGAGGGCAAAGAGCAGATTCTCTTACACGGCTAGGCTACATGCAGATTTCTTGTCATAGGAACCGACAACAATGCCACTCTACATATCAGGATTCAACACCAAAAACACGTTTCCCACACAAAGAAAAGAACATTAAGTCATTAAGTTTATATTTTTAGGCTTTGTGTTTATTATTTAAAAAGTGAATGCTGTGGCTGCTACTAGCTAAGCTAACACTGCGGTGGTTAGTTAGCTAACTTAAACACCTACTCTACTGATGATACGTCAGAGTTGTTGTTTAGATCGTCTTTTTCATAATCTGTTATCTAAACGAAAACAAGGAATTCCACATCACATCTACGTGATACGATTGTTAAAGTCAAGCTAGCCTAACTGAACTACTTCCTTCTTCTTCGCTATGTTTTTATTAAAACTTTATCCTGACATTATCTAGAAATCTTAGTGCTGACAACTAGTTGCAAGGCAGCACTGTGCCCCTTTGTCTTTTATTCATCAGGCGTGCAATTAAGATTTAGCACGTTATATTGACAACTTGACAGCCAAAACCAATGCTAATCATTGGTAGCCAGCAGCTTGACGTCACTCTCCAAGGGTCCATTTCCAGCTGACATCACATTCGCCAGGACACTAAACCCGAGCGACAGTGAAAGCATCATGTCCTCTGCTCCCATGGAGAATATGTGACTCTGATTGCATCTGGAAGAGGCAATCAAAGCCAGAGTGACGAAGAGGGACAAATCTCAGAAGTGGGGAGATGCACTGGAATGATACAGTCTCTTATCGTGGGAGCTTGAAAGCGCCCACGCTGAGAGAATCAATAACACCGGCTTCACACATGCAGGGAGGGTGAGGATGTACTCTGTACACTGAAAGACTCGTTTACAAAAAAAAAAACAACTGTCTTTAAATCACCATATGGCCCAGCTATCATATCCCCAGGTAGTGCAGTGCAGTAATCCCAGTGCCAGCTTGTTTCAGACATTACAAAAGCAGCAGATGAGTAAGGAATCGTCATTATCTCGGTCTGTAATGGCACTGAGCTGCTGCATGATCAGATTTTACCCTGAAGCCTGTTGCAGAGGTGGTCTCTCTTGAACCCTCTGTTTAGGAGGACTATTAGCGGGCGGAGAGCAGCAGTGCGGAGGGTCCTGCAATATTTTCCCTGTTCCCATGGAAACCCCTTCACATGAAAGACGAGCGCCGATGGGATGCGGCAGCCCTCGTTGAATCGGTGATGGGGGCGCGAACGGAGATCGGCGCAGACGGCTGAGAAAGCACAACAATAGGACGGAGTCTTTGAGTGGGGAAAGGCCAGGCCGCCCGGGGCGCCAACAAAGGTTTCATCTACATCCACCCCAACGGCGTCGCTTCTGAACAAATCACTCCCGCCAATTTGCCAATGACATTTAAGCTCAGGAGTGTTGTGGCCGATTGAAACACCAAGGCAGGCAGTAATTGATTAGAGTCTGCTGATATTTCAGGTCCTGACAAAAGTATTGCATCATTAGTGTCTGTCTGTCAACGTGGTTAAAACCAGGAGCATCCGCATTTTTCTTCCAGACAAATCAAGAAAATATCCTTTTACTGTCACAGTAGTGATTATATTCCATCAATCTTTATAAGCAAACAGGATCAACCTTCTGTCTCATAATTATGGTGTAGCGTCTGAATGAAGATTTTATTTGCTTAAAGCAGTTTTTTATCTCGTTTCTCCACTGAAAACATTGGAAATTAAAATAATTCATCCTAGCTCCTATTACCACTCTCCTACTAAAATATGTGCAGCCCTCAAAATCCCATTAATTTTCATTACGCAGGGTTTCCCCCGGTGGTTGGGACGCAAAGGCAGTCATTCATCCAGCAGCCCAGTGTTGAGTTAAAAATGTTCAAAGGTGACAGGAAATTTGAAAATATCACTTGATAATTATGTCTTATTGGAATATTAATACCAGAACACCAAATATAAACTCTAAAAAAAACGCAAACTAAAAAAAAAATGAAATAAATAAGCAATGGTGGAGGCCAGGCCTATAAAACACCATCATAATAATAAACTCACCCTATGAAATAAAAACCCTATATTGTAGCTAAAAGCTAAAAGCATGAAGACAATAAAAACAGTTTTTTTGGCACAACCACCTGTTTGACATCTTGGAAGTGATTGAGAGTCAATAAGTCTATTGTTGAGCTGCATTTTTTGCTTGTTTTTATAAGTGTCATGTTTGCCGCTGATTTCTTTTAACAAGCATGAAGGTCAGGGACGCATGCTGATGTGTGAAGGAATCAGGGGGCTGCAGTTGACTAAATCAAGAAAAAAACTTGAGCAATTTTGGCAAGAAGAATAAGGATTGTTCCTTTTAAAGAATATGTGCAGAAATATATATTTTGTCACTAAATGTTTTGGGATTTTTCCTTGATTTTAAATGGAGAAAGAAGATTTTCTCCTAGTTAAAGGAAAAATTTGTAAGCTTAGAAATATTTCATATCAGAAGATACATCTTAATAATAAAAATATACTTTTGAAGACAGACTGTTGAAGCAGTTGCTCAACAGACCTTGAGGTAAGTGATGCATTTTTTGTTTTGTTATATTTTATGCTTATCTAACTCTAAGTGGTGCTTACTTATAAGATGTTTTCTGGGAACAAAACTCTAAAATCTCTCCTCCAGGTCACTAAAACACTGCCACATGAACTATTTAAAACAGAAAGAGGCTTGTTCACCTTATGATCAGGTGAATAACCTGATCATAAGGTTACTCACCATAATGTCCTGTTTTAGCCGACTGTCAATGAAACAACTCTAAAATTACGTCTGTATTTCAAAATAAAAGTCTCAAAAATATTTACAAACATGTAGCACTCACTCTAACAGCCTGGGCCCCACACTACTAGCTCAAAACAGAAATTATTAAATCCTTCATGCTTTTTGTTTGACAGGGAATGTGATTGTGACTTCACATCACCATGCTAACAGCTAAAACTCTTCCATACTTCACCCAAAACCGACAGTCGATGCACAATCGATCACGTGGTTAAGGGAAGTTCGTATTTAAAAACCAAAGTAAGACATTTTACGATCTTTGTATGTATTTTATGAAGAATTATACAAATATAATTCCTCACCACATCTGTTAAATACTACCCAAAGGTATTCATGCCGACTGGCTATTGTTTAGAGGTTGAAGCCATCGGTCAAAAGACACGTCATAAACTCACAGCGCCATCTGGTGGCCTGGCATGACAACTACAGCTGACAACATCAACGAGACGATTTTCATGCTTCAAATAAAATATTAGAGAGCCATAAGAAAAACATGAATACTACAAAGTTAGAAAGGTTTTTTTTTATAGCACCTGATATTTGCAATGTTCCTTAAGAAGTACAAAACGTTACGAAGTACATAACTTATTTATAACTGTAATAAGTTATAAAATGTTAAACATATAGTTACTTTAAAGTGTTGTTTAAACCTTTCCTGTATATTTTGGGACTGAACCGAAAACTTCTCACTGATTTAAGCACAGAGGTTTTTCTTAAAAGTTTCATTAGTCTCATCAGTTGGAGTTATTTAAAATAAATTCTTGAAGGCAGAAGGAACAACACAGCACTGTAATCACTAAGTAAGACAGCCAGATCCCTCCAAAGATTAACATCGTGACAAAAAGAAAATCAATTCGGCTTCAGATAGAGCTTTTCATTTGTGGCCAGTGATCATTAGTTTCGGACCATCCAATTTCCAAAACTGTCATCTGCAGGTATAACAACAGTTAATAAAAGCAGATTTAAAAAAATTCTTACTTAAAGATGAAGATATATATTTCCAGTTGACCCGGGATTCTGCCACTACATCTTTACACAGCTGCCACCTAACAAACCGTTTCCACTGAGAAATTCTCCAACAGACCTTTACAACATCGTTTTTAGAAAAAAGAATGAAGTTAATTTAAATCCGTGTGCCCATTCATACTGGTTGTATTTTCTCTGGGTCTTACTCTGATCAGGCAGGAAGCTTTGACAAAAATGTCAAAGGTCATACAACAGCAGGTAGTTTGGTCAGTTCTCTTC